GGAAAGTTTCTCAGGGCGTGCACGAGTGAGGACAAAGTGTGCGGTAAAGGCTCGTGTTGGTTTGTGAGGACAGTACTAGACGTCTAGAGTAACTACCTCGGGTCTTGTGGGGGCCGGGGTGTTACAGGAAAGTGGTACATGTAGGAATCGACCTTCGGACCTCATCTCACACGCACAACATAACCCTACAACTACATCCGCTCTACCACTAGCACATTTTTTATGTGCCACTAGTCTATTTGGTATAAGTATGAAGATTAAATTTTATTGTAATACCCAAGATTAATTTAAGAGGATTAATAGTACGACTCATACAAACAAGGTGCATCTCCTTTTAAGGGAGCTCATCCGTTAAGAACTCCAAAGTTAAGCGTGCTTGCATGGGAGTAGTCTGGAGATGGGTGATCCCCTGGGAAGTTTCTCAGGGCGCGCATGAATGAGGACAAAGTGCGCGGAAAAGGCTAGTGGCGGTTTGTGAGGATAGTACCAGAGGTCTGGAGTAACTACCTTGGGTCCTGCGGGGCCGAGGTGTTACAAATGATATTAGAGCAACCCTACGATAGTGTGCTTATCCGTTGGATATCGGGCAGACATTTAGCAGGGCAAAAATATTCTGGGGTTTGATTGAGAATTGTTTAAGGGCGCAGCGAGGACGTTGCGATCCTAAGTGGGGGTGATTGTAATAACCGAGATTAATTTAAGAGGATTAATAGTACGACTCATACCAACAAGGCGCATCTCCTTTTAAGGGAGCTCATCCGCTAAGAACTCCAAAGTTAAGCGTGCTTTCACGGGAGTAGTCTTGGGATAGGTGACCCCCTGGGAAGTTTCTCATGGCGCGCACGAGTGATGACAAAGTGCGCGGAAAAGGCTAGTGGCAGTTTGTGAGGACAGTACTAGAGGTACGAAGGGTGTGTGTGGAGTAACTACCTCGGGTCCTGCGGGGCCGGGGTGTTTCAAGTGTTGACATTGAAGCAGTACGTTGGAATAGAAGGTGGCAGGCTGGGATCATCAAGCCAAGTAGTCGCTGATGCAACAGGTCGATTTTCATTCTTCGCGTAGGGTTTTCCCGTCCTGTAGTCGTGCTTTCTGGAAGTGCTTGCTTTTTGTTGTTCTCCCTCATATCCGTCAGAACGAAGACGAGACTGTTGATCCTCCTCAAGTCGGATGAAGGCCAACGTCATGGCCTGGACGTCTTCAAAGGTCTTGCATGGAAACTTAGTGAGTTCCCTATACAAGTCTGAGTCATCACGTAATACTCTTCTGAATGCTTCCACAGCTGTCGACGTATCACATCTTAGGATTGACACATTTTCTTTGTTAAAGCGATGCAAGTAATCTCTTAAGGACTCGTTGCTTCTTCGGGTTACGCGATACAAGTCGCTGGTTTGGTTTTCCAAGGTCCGACTACTTGCAAACTGCCGGGTGAACAAGTTAACCAACTCCGCGAACGAGTTGATGCCCCCGTTCGGTAAGTTGACGAACCATGTCAACCCTGCACATACAGGCTTCTCGTTGGTCGGGTCTGGCAGAGATGGCCAACATTCGCTGTTTATACTGAGCAACATGTTCTACCGGATCAGAGGTTCCATCGAACAACTTCATTGATGGTGCGGTGAATTTCCTTGGAATCTCGACGTCCGCAATATGTCGTCCGAAGGGTGAATCTGCGTAACAGGTTTGCGTCGCTACGTCAAGCGGACGTGGAACCTAAGGGATGCCGTTGACCTTTTCCCGGAACTCCCTCAACTCTTCCATGATGATGGCCAAGGGATCCGTCGTGTTTGTTGTTATCTGCGGACCCACTGCTCCGGGGGGTGTTGCCGTCTGATTTTCCCTTTGTTCGGTCGGTGACTGTATGGTGATGACCTATGGTTCTTGACGCTTTTGATTGTTGATGTCGACACCTCTGGTCATGTCGAAATGGATCGGAACTTGTCGTCTCTGGGGTTTTGCAAATAAATTCCAGAATACGTCCCTTCTGGGATTTGGGAGTTGGACTGGACGAGTTGAAGGCCCCGCTCCTCCAGATGAGCCGGCTCCGGAGTGAGGGACGAAAGGCATCGCTGGTGCCGACATGGTGATAGGAATCGCCATCTGTTGGTTGACAGTCTGCAAACCAGATGTCGTCGGCCTGGTCCGCAACGAATCTGGGAAGAAACACATCGAGATGCTTACTGCTGGAGTCGTTTCCGGGACAAGAGGTTCGTAGGGCACAAGTTGCGAAACCACCGGGGAGTATCCGACATATGGATCGAAATCCAATATTTCCGGAAAAAACTCGGTTGTGAAGGTGAGTGTGGAGGTTGAGACCGGTATGGAGTCCATGTCCAATCTTGATGTTGCGGTCATGACCTCTTTCCCTTTTCATGAGCTAGATAATAGAGTATATTAGAGTAATTAATACCATACCGTTAATTAGGTTTCCATATTTCTTATGTTTCCTAATGTACTTAGGACATATTCTTTTATATATATGACACCTAGGGCTACCACATTGGTAAGCCTTTGCATTATTCTCACATGGTATTAAGAGCCCTAGGTTTTAGACAGAACTAAACTTTTTTTTCCCGTTCCAATGGCCTCTCAGCCGACTTCCGCTGCCGATGCTACCACGAGCGTCACTACCCTGCCTTCTTCGGTGGTAACCTCGGCAGTTCTTAGCACGGACGAGATGACTCCAACTGCGGTGACATCAGCGCCGTTCTTATCCCTGGACGAGCAGCTTCACTCACCGCCGCAAACCTCCGTGCTGCACCAGACCTCTACGCCATCGTCTTGGGTTGCGCCGATTTTTACATGGATTTCTTGTCGGTTAGGAAAATCACAACGATTACCTTTTCAGGAAGTGTGGCATAAATCTACTACTCCTTTGTTTTTAATTCATTCTGATGTTTGGCAGTCTCCTGTCCTTTCTTCAAATGGCTTTAAATATTATGTTTTATTTATTGATGATTTTTCTTGGTTTACTTGGCTCTATCCCATGCGTAATAAAAGTGAAGTGGTGAGACATTTTCAATCTATGGTGGGAAGTTTACTTGATGCTAGAATTAAATTTTTTCAAAGTGATGGAGGGGGGTGAATTTGATAATCATGCTATGCGCGAGAGTTTTACCAAAAATGATATTTTATTTCGCAAATCATGCCCTGACACTCCTGAATAAAATGGAGTAGCTGAGCGTAAACACCGGCATATACTTGAATTAACTCGCACTATGCTCTTCGATGCAAAATTGCCAGCTAATTTTTGGGTAGATGCTGTGTTTACCGCAATTTTTATTATTAATCGGCTCCCTACTCCCAATCTAAATGACATATCTCCCTTTGAAAAATTATTCCACCATTCTCCCGACTTCTCTTTTATGCATGTGTTTGGTTGTGCTTGTTTTCCAAATTTTAATGCCACCTCTGCGAATAAACTGTCTCCTACATCCACTTTATGTGTCTTTTTAGGATATGCCCCTGAATACAAAGGTTATCGTTGTTTTAATCCTATTACTGGCAAGATTTACATAAATCGGAATGTGCGGTTTTTTTAAAATTATTTTCCTTATTCTTATATAATTTCAGCACGACAAATGGACACTTCCACAATACCCATCAGTAGCACGGTGACCATGCATGATTTTCACTCCGTTCACCCACTGCCAGTCAGCCGGACTAATGACCCAGACATTCCCAGCCAAAGGCCACCCAATCCCTCACCGACCCTCACTCCATCTTCCTTGACCATCCCAGAACCCCAGACCCCTGTTGAGACCAACCGCAGCACCTTCGACCATGATCAGCAGCCAAACACACCCTCTACTGCACGTGTAGCATCTCCGCCGCAGTCTGCCTTTGACCAAACCACAAGCCGCAGCAACTCCAGCCCGAACCAAACCTCATCCCCACCTGCATCTTCTTCTAAAAATTGTCATCCTATGCAAACTCGTGCTAAGGCAGGAATTTTTAAACCAAAACATATTTTTACTCTCAAAACAGATATTTCAGCATGTGATCCTTCATGTTTTTCTATGGCAAATAAAGATGCTAAATGGAGAGCTGTCATGGCTGAAGAGTTTAATGCACTTATTGATAATTATACCTGGGATTTAGTTCCATTTAATGCTAGTAAAAATGTGGTTGGGTCTAAATGGATTTGTAAAACAAATTTTAATGCTGATGGGTCAGTTGAGCGCTATAAGGCGCGCTTGGTTGCATAGGGATTCACTCAGCAAGCTGGTGTGGATTTTTCTGAAACTTTTAGCCCTGTTGTCAAACCCACTACTGTTCGGATTTTTTTTATCCCTTGTTGTTTCGTTCAGATGGTCTATTCGCCAGTTAGATGTCAAAAATGCGTTTCTTCATGGCAATCTGACAGAAGAGGTTTATATGCATCAGCCTCCTGGGTTTATCCATCCACAATTTCCTAATAATGTTTGTCGGCTCAGGAAGGCTATTTATGGTCTCAAACAAGCTCCACGGGCTTGGTTTTACCGGTTTAGTAGTTTTTTGTTGACCCATGGTTTTGTCTGTAGTAAGTCTGATAATTCTCTCTCCATTTACCGTCATGGGTCTCATGTTCTCTATCTCCTTTTATATGTGGATGACATCATTATCACTGGTAATTCCCCTTCATTTATTTCCACATTTATTTCTTGTCTTGGCCGCTATTTTGCCATGAAGGATTTGGGGGATTTACATTTTTTCCTAGGTGTCCAAGCCATTCGAACCAAGTCAGGTCTGTTTCTGTCTCAACAAAAATATGTAACTGATATGTTAACTAGGTTCCATCTACACACTCTTAAGCCTGTTCGTACTCCACTCCCTTCTCGAACTAAGCTCTCTCTCACTGATGGGGATCTTTTTGCAGATCCTACTGCGTACAGAAGTATGGTAGGTGCACTACAGTATTTGACTATGACTCGACCTGATATTACATTTGCTGTTCACCTGGTCTCTCAGTTTATGCATGCACCTCGTACTTCTCACCTTTTGGCTGTTAAGCATATTTTCAGGTATCTTCAGGGATCTTCAGCTCACAGCTTGCTCCTCCAGTCCAGTACATCTTCTCCTACTTTGCAGGCTTATTCTGATGCTGACTGGGCTGGTTGTCCTGATAGTAGTCGGTCCACTTCTGGTTTTGCTATTTTCTTCGGTCCGAATTTAGTCTCCTGGAAGTCTAAGAAGCAGCCCACTGTCTCTCGTTCTTCCACAGAGGCTGAATATCGGGCTATTGCATACACAGTACAAGACATGCTTCACATTCGCTCCATCCTATTTGAGTTGGGCGTTCCCATTCGGCACCCAGTGCAGTTATTGTGTGATAATGTTTCTTCCTCCTACTTGTCCACAAATCCTATCCAGCATGCTCGGAGCAAGCACATCAGCATTGATTATCATTTTGTTCGTGAGAGAGTCTCGCATGGAGATCTGGTTGTCCGCTATGTTCCTACTCAATTTCAGCTAGCCGACATTTTTACTAAATGTCTGTCACCACAGCGTTTTATTTTTCTTAGGGACAATCTGCGCATTGTTTCCCCTACACAGCTTGAGGGGGTGTAATAGATTATATTAGAGTAATTAATACCATACCATTAACTAGGTTTCCATATTTCTTATGTTTCCTAATGTACTCAGGACATATTCTTTTATATATATGACACCTAGGGCTACCACATTGGTAAGCCTTTGCATTATTCTCACACTAGATGCTATGGACACCACCGACTGTACCTGAGATCTTAAAGCGTCGTTCTCGCCTTGGAGTAAAGCCACCCGCTGGCGCATCTCCTCACGGACAGCTTCCAACTGCGCTGCGTCGGCATTTCTGGACGTGCGAAGCTCTTATCGGACGGTTATGTACTTATATTTTACACACTTTTTAGGCTTAGTTTGTTGTTGATTTTAGTTATTAAAGTTCTACATTTGTACATATTTTTATTATTTGTCGTTAGTTTATACTTGTGCGGTCCTACACGGGTATTTTGTATTTTCAGGTACTTTTGATGCTATTTGGATACATTTGAGTGTGAACAAAAGAAGAAAATAAAAGTTCAAGCTGGAGGTCAATAAAAGTTGAATTTCCTTCCTAACAAATAAGGAGTAAATTGAAGAAAAGAAGCAAAAATAAAAATGGCGGAGCTGGGATTCGATCCCTGAACAAAGGGTAAAAGAATGCCTATTAGAACCAGACGGCTTCTAACTGCTCCGCGTCGGCATTTCTGGACATGCAAAGCTCTTCTCAGACGGCTTCCAACTGTGCCTGGATCTCAATCACCAGGGAATTAGAGCTTTCGGCCACAATTGATTCTCTTCTTTGCAAGAGTTTCCCACAGACGGCGCCAATTGTTTATACCGGAATTAAACAATTAAATTGAACTGCGAATCTCACAAAATAGAATCAATAATGGACAAGTTGATATAAGCAATAAATTGAATGATAGTAATAGATATTTCTCAATATGGAGTTTTCGAATAGAGAGTATTAGATAATTGGAATAAATGTGTTGATCGTGATTGATCGTGTTTTACAATAAAGCCTGAGCTAGTGTATTTATGGAATGAAGTAAACTCCTTCCCCAAGAATAGTAACTGTCCTCCTATTTTTCCTCCACGTGCTCACTCTCCTCTTGACTTGCTCGTCGACTCTTTTAATTCTTATCCCTAATTTATTTAAATGTCAACCGTAGCAAATTGAAGGGCTTCGATATTCCTTTGGGCTGCCTGAACCAGCTTACCTCGTCGTACCTATTGGCCCATCTGAAGGAGAAATTTCTTGGGCCCAACAGAGGAAAACAAGCGTTCTTTGAGTTTCAATGGCAGGAGTTGGTTTGTTCTTTCTTCCGCGTTTGGTCCAAAGTCTAAAGGAATCGTCTTTTGTTTTTTGGCTAAAGCAAGGAATCAACATGAGTAAGGATAAATAGAGAATGTAATTGGGAGACAAAAATATTGATGAGAACAAACCTGCGATTCTCCATTTGTCCATCAGGAAAGCTCCATCTGCTCCAAGCGAAGACTTCTCCACGAAGAAGAACTTAGTCAACCATCCCTTATCATTAGCACCGCTGATCTCTTGAATCAATGGATGGCTCTCGCTCGTTTTTGGTTGTCAGTATGAATCTACCTTTTCCTGTGGTTCATAAGTAATATGTGAAGCCCAAATCCTCGGCAGTAAACTTCAAAGCATGTTTCTCTATCAAAACATCTAGGGAGCGAATCAATCGCCATGTCTGGGGAGTAATCTGGGCTGGGGATACTTGCATGATGGTTAGCACGCCGGAGACGAACTCGGAAAAGGGGAATTTCATACCTAATTTCTTAAATGCGTACTGAAAGAAGCTGACCCAACCTTGACGGAACCAGTCAACCCGCTCCGGATGCACCGGGAAGTGGATCCTCATTGGGGGAGAAAAACCATGGACGGTTACAATATCTTCTTTGTCTTGGTCACGCAAGTCACACGCACGAGAACTCTTGGCATCAAGAAGGTTTCAGCTAGCAAAAATGATGGGCTCCATGAGGAAGACGATGGAAGGCTTCAGAAGATACTGTTGTGAGAGAAGATTGATTAGAAAAGGCGTGCGAAGTGACTTAAATTTTGCAGCTCCTCGGGTAGAGTCCATACGGTTGAGTGTACCACATGGTTTAAAATTCATCATGATGGCTCTCAATATGCTCTTGACCCGGGGAACATTTGCCTGGATTTTATTAAAATAAAAAGGTAGAACAAAAAGAGAGGGGGATCAAACCAAAACCTCTCTTCAGAGGCATACCTCTGAGAAATACATGAAAGAGATAAAACATATGAATTTTGGGGGGGCTATACTCGACCCAAAATAAAAATACATCAGGCTAAAACAAAAACCCCTCTCCAACGCTTTCTTCCTCAAGGTCTGAATACCAGTGGTATTTCCTAAATCGTTAAACAAGGAAGAAATTGAACGGACATCGTCCGTGTGATATCCGAAAATTTAAACAAAATAAAAGTTTAAGTTAATCAGATAAAATGTTACAAAAGTGACATTTTTAATGCTTAAGTAACAAGATAAACATTTCGTGGAATATTGTCTTATAATACTAGCTAGAATTATTAAGTCGGGGGTGAATATTCTATAAAGAACAAACCCATATGCAAACTTTGCATGCCCACATGAAGTTGGCCGAACAATAATGAGTAACAATAATAAAAATTTGCAATGACCATAATAATAGACCTCCAATAATATACTACCTCCGTCCCCCTAAATTTGGGACAAGAGAAGGTGGCACGGATATTAATAAAAGTGGATTTATGTTGTTGATATTGAATTGATAAAGTAAGAATAAAGTAGGAATGATTTAGAACGACACAAACTTTACCAAATAAGGTAAGGGACAATCTTAGTGGGACGGACCGAAATGGTAAATTGGAACAATCATAGTGGGGCAGAGGGAGTACCTATCAATAATATACAGTACATAATGATAAGGATGACATACATCATACGACATACATAGCCTCTTGCGAGACTAACGAATGACATACCCACATGCGTACGTAGAAGCTAATAAGATAAGCCAACCAAGCAATCTTCTGCAGCAACCTACACTATACCAGCTAGAGCTTCGGATTGACCTTATAAATATACTTACGCATACATAATATAGCCATACAACCATATGTACATGTATATGCATATATGTATAATATACCTACACTGCGGCAAACCTATTGACGCAAAACCCAGAGATAAAGACTACTTTAAAACTTCGGTCTGGTAGACAGTAAGAGAAAGAAAGTGAGAAAAGAGAGAAACTGTCGATAGTAGGGGGGAGAAATCTTCGCCGGAGTTTCGCCGGAGTGGGTTTTGACGTCAAAGAAAGAGAGGAGCTGAAGCTGCGACGCCGGTCTGTGTTGCTGAACCGGCATATCCCAACAGATCCACCATCTTCGTTAGTCTGGTAGTAGTCTACAGTTCAGGTAAGTGTTCTCTGCATTTTTCATTCGCTCCGGCGTCTAGACGAAGAAGATGACTTCCGCCTGGTTTTATTCTCAGGCTGGATCTATTTTAAAATTGGGCCAGATATACTAATTTCTGGGCTGGACCCTTTTTGTTAACTGCCCTATACGAATTACCAACTACTTCTAATAATAATTTTTTTTTTGATAAAACCTACTTCTAATAATAATAGTTAATCATAATAATAAATAATGAAAAATTGGTAATTAAATCTGGAATGAGAATATTGAAAGTTGAAAAATGGATTAATTAGATTCAAAATAATTACGTGGATAAATTTGTCACTTTTTAACTGATACAATTACGTAATGTTGAATAATGAAATGATTTGATTGTTTAATTAATCTAAATTGATAAACGATTTATTATAATAAAATAATGATTATTTCGAACTTAGTACCTTAACTAGATTGAATAAATTGGCTACATATTATTTACACTAATTACTTGATTAATTGAAGTAGATTAACATAACTAAGAAATTCGGATATATTAAGTATTAAAGCAAAAGCAGATTAAATAAATGACTATTAGTAAACTCATTAGGATGTTCGGATATATTAAGGTGGATTAATAAATAAAGTGGTAGGATTAATAAATAACCTAGATTCGAACAATAAAATAAAAGGGGAAAATCATGTAAATTTTTAATAAATGACTGATTATGTCATCTTGATTAAAAAGGTGATTATTTAGAGACATGAATAGAGGAGGAGAACTAGGAGCTTCGAAATTAAGGTAAGTTTTTCTGCCGATCCAAAATGGTTTCCTCATATAATATGATTATTATGTGCTATGTGATTATGTTTTGAGTTTTGGATTATGTATATGTGTTATTTGAAGAAGATATTAAATCAATAGTATTTTGAGGAATACAAATGTACTTTTGGGGTATTAAGTATTTTTAAATACTTTTGAGACTATTTAGAGAGATTGAGAAATATTTTGAAGTATATCCTGATTCAAGATACAAATTAATGATTTCATAAGAGGTAGACACCGTGGGAGTAATCTGAGGTGTTGGTTTTCCACGTCCCTTAAAATGTGGAGAGTGGTTAGGGCTTCTACTACTAAGGGTGAGGAGTACAGTTTGAGTTTGGAGTGACATTTGGATCCATGATCCCTTTTTAAGAAGAAGAGTGTAGTAGTAGTAGTCCCTAATCATTCAGAAGTAGCTTAAAGGTGGGGTAGTCTACCCGACTACTCGTGACGACTTAATACTCGGAGGGCTTGGAATCCCTTTTAGGGGGTGTGCACACTTAAGGTAGTTGTTTCGTTTCTATTGAGTAGTTGTGGTACCGACAAAAGTCCCGGGGTGGCCGTATATAACAACGGACCACCGGGCTCAACCAAAAGTGTTGAGCACCGCCCTTCTAAATTACTAGGAAGTTAGTCAAAAAGAAATTTTTGAGAAACTCAAAGAGAAGAACTACTAAGATTACTTTCAAAGAGAAGTTGAGTCTATTTGAGAAGAAGAGAAGAACAACTAAGTTTACTTTCAAAGGGAAGTTGAGTTTATTTGAGAAGAAGAGGAGAACTATTGAGATCACTTTCAAAGAGAAGTTGAGTCTATTTGAAAAGAAAAGAAGTACTACTGAGATTACTTTCAAGGAGAAGTTGAGTCTATTTAAAAAGCTAAGAGTGATTAACTACAAAATTATTTTTGGATCAGAAAGAGATACTTTTATATTAAGGTGTGAGTTATTTAGTG